TGTTGTATTTTATTGTGTAATAGCATGTTCATTATCTTGCAACTAATAAGTAAAGATATACAATCACTGAGAATTGTATTGACCTATGATATGCTTGCAGTACCATTTTCAAGTGTTATTGAAATAACACAAAATATCTTAAGAAGTTCATTACATAAGATATAAAATTGAACATTTCTTGAATCTTATTGTAGTATACACTATTCGAATGTATATAACTTGATGTATATTTTTCTATATTTTTTCATGTTTCGTTAGTTTATGAAAAATATATGGGTGAATCCGTGGGGATTCTACCATTTTCAGGGAAAATTTTTTTTTTCAATTTTAATAGGCTAGTTAGACGGAACGTCGTCGAAAACGATCTGAGGTAATAATTAAAATCTTTTTACTCATGAAAAGTATGGCGATCCAAGTGGTTTTTTTAGGAACATCTCAAGGTATGTATTTCGAGTGTCAATTAAATAGCAGTACAAAGAAAAAGTTGAATATCTCAATTACGGCTCGACCAAACGGGCTCATTTGTTTACCAAGAATAAAGGCATGTTTACACTCCAAATCCATACGGATAAGGTTAGTGAGAACCTTTGTTAAATACCACTATTGACCTCAACAAGAAAAGGAGGTGTGCCAAATTATGGACTGATCGTCCCAAATAGGATAAGCCTAATTTTATTGACCCGATAATCAGCATTGAACCTTGATTATGTTTCATAAGTTTATTCTGTATTTTATCACAACTCAATTTTTTGACTCCTGAGGTCCAGTCAGGTTTCAAGAAAAAGTTTTTGTTGCCGTTCGATCAGAAGTCTTTCTAGTTCGATAGTACTATGTGTGCTGATTATAGATACCATTTTATTTTTCAAAAGTACTCAGATAATAAGAAAGATCTAAAGTACTTTCTGGAAGCCGTAAAACCCAGTTTTTGACTGGAAAGTCCATCAAAATCCGAACTAAGCTAGTCTCAAATAGGCTCATTTGGTAGAGAATTTCATTCTCTATCAGAATCTATAAGAATATCTTAGACATTCGAATTTTTTTCTATCGATAAATTCCAAATACCACCCCAATTGGGTCATATTGACACAAATAATGATTTTTCGAGTCTTTCGAAGTTATAGTTTTTCCGGGTGGACTAGCTTGATTTTCACACTGGATATGCAATTCAATGTGTTCTTTCTGATGAGACCATTTTCAACTTGAAATTCGATGTCTAGTGAGCCCGTTTGGCCGAGCCGTAATTGAGATATTCAACTTTTCTTTGTACTGCTATTTAATGGACACTCGAAATACATACCTTGAGATGTTCCTAAAAACCCACTTGGATCGCCATACTTTTCATGAGAAAAAAGATTTTAATTATTACCTCAGATCGTTTTCGACGACGTTCCGTCTAACTAGCCTATTAAAATTGAAAAAAAAAATTCTCCCCGAAAGTGGTAGAAATCCGATAGATTCACCCATATTGAAATTACTTTCGTGTTCATCATATATTAAGCTCTGCATTAAGCTCTATAGCTTATCTGTAGTCTCCAAAAACTTCTTATTTGCAAATCATTCAAAGATTTCACTATGCTANNTGCCTAAATAAGCTTCAATCGCATTTATCTAAAGAGAAGACAGAATAATTTGAAAAATATATTTTATCGACCTGAATAATATTGACTTGCATTTATCTAAAGAGAAAACAGAGGACAATTTTAAAACTATATTTTTATTTACCTAAATAATATTGAACTGTGTTCATCTAAACAGAAAGAAAAGTGATAATCTAAAAAACTTATTTTTACTTGCCTAAATAATATTGAACATCATTTATCTAAAGAGAGAACATAATAATTTTCAAAATATATTTTGCCTACCTGAATAAATCTGAGTCGCATTTATCTAAAGGGAAAAAGATGATGATTTTCAAAATATATTTTCACTTACTTGAATAGCATCGAAATTCATTTATCTAAATAGAAGACAGAATGATTTTTAAAATATATTTTTACTTGCCTTAATAACATTGAACATGATTTATCTAAAGAGAGAACAAAGGATAATTTTTAAAATATATTTTTATTTACCTAAATAATATTGAACTGCGTTCATCTGAACAGAAAGAAAAATAATAATCTAAAAAACTTATTTTTACTTGCCTAAATAATGTTGAAGTGAATTTATCTAAAGAGAAAAAAATGATAATTTGAACAATTTATTTTTACATCGCCATATAGTGTCCGATTGGATCATGTCTGAACAAAGAAACATAATTGGAACAATACATTGTTTGCTATTGTCTGTTGAAGCGCGAGAATGTTGTTGTATAGAATCTTTTTTAACAAACGAAATAATTCTTATTGTGCATTGAAATGTGAGTTCTACGAAAATTTAGGTTTGCTGTGGCAATTTTAGAATTAACTTTTTTCTAGTATTCAGTTCGAATTTCATTGATAGAGATAAAGATATACAAAATAATGGTGAACAGATCAGTGGCACTTCGAGGACCATATGTGATGCGCAAGAGAAGTTTGATTATTTAACATCAATGAAGTTTTGTTTTTATGGCCATGAAAATAGTGATGTGAATGAATGCGCAAATTTGAGAATAAATATATAAATTAATTATGCTTATATTTCAAATGCTTTTCAATAAAAATAGAAGTATTTCATTCGATCAATTTACAAAAAACAATTACAAGAAAGTATGATTCAATTTGTTCTTCAGTCAAATGCTTCATCTAATGATGATGAACTTTGCTGCTGGTTTTGTTTGTGGATATGGCGAATTTCTTTGATGCTGTCTCGTCGTCGTTCTTCAATCAAGAAATCGGTGAGCTTTCGCCGTAGTAATGATCGATAAAATAAGCCAAAGTTTGTTTCATCTAATCGGAATTTTATTCGAATGGCATCTGACCAAAATGAAAAGAGAAATAATGATAAAGGACAAATGATTTTCCTGCCGGTCAGCAATTTAAATCGTTCTGGATCAAGTGGTTCTCGTTTTAAATGGGATCTACCAGGTGGCAAAATTGAATTTTTAAGTTCATAGCTTGTGTATAGAATTCGTAATAGCTGTCGTGCATAATCAGCATAGTCCGTTGCCATTATGTCAAGTAAATTTTTTTTCATGTAACTGAATGAAAGAGGGAAAAAAGGAATTTATCATTTCTGATGTTGTATATATATCAGAATACTTACTAACTCGGGTGGAAAAAATTGACCTGATTTAGCAGCATATGGTTCGAGAGCATGTCGGTTCTAAAATAGAACAATGGTTGGAATTTATATTGAAAAAAGTTAAAGGAAAAGTAATGTTATTTTTTATCCGCATAAAACGACAAGGTTTCATTAGGTAACTCTCTGTTAAAGATATTCGGTTAAAATGAGGTGGATATACCTTGAACTTAGCTATCTACTAATACTTCGCATTCCTAGTGAAGTTTCCCGGTTCATTAAGTCATCTTTTAGATAAGGGACGGCTATAAGATTGGCTAACTTACAATGTTGGTCATTGAAGCCAATCGATCAATTTTGTTTGATAATCGTTCGATTTGTTGATGAAGTTTTGATGAGTTAATTATATCTGGTACTGAATTGGAATCTAAATGAGAAGAGACAAGAATGAAATGATGTCGCAGATAAAACATGAGGACTCACTAATTTTATTTGCTGATTTAGTTTTTTCATTCATATCAATGCTATCGTTGATTTCAACTTCGTCGTCATTTTTGTCTAAAACTGTAACAGTAAAATTAGTACGCAGAAAGCATAGTTTAGACTCACATGAAGATGTTAAATGACGGTTAGTATAGTTTTTCTTCGATGTTACAATCATCTTTTTCAATTGCACTTCCTTTGAGCTTTTACGATGTCGTTTACGAGAATCAAAAAAATTATCTTCTTCAAAATCACTAGCTGTTGTTTCATCAATGGAAAACATTATAATATGAGCTATGCTTGAATAAGAAAGACAAATATAGCATTCAACTAGAACACAACTAATTTGAGAATAATGTGGGAGAAAAAAACAAAAATATTGAAGATAACAACTAAAAGAACATTTTACATTTATTTTTTCTATAATAATTACGAGATTCACTCGTGCTAATGATTTATATTGAGTAAAAGGTGATAGATTTTAATGGTTAACAAACAGCAAAGTATTGAATGCTCAACAATATTCACTGAAGAAACAAACGTTCAATTCAAATGGTCCTCATTAAACAAAAAAAGAAATGACTCAGACGAATGAAATAAGACTGGTTTTACATACCAAAACATCGACCTGAAGAGGAGAAAATAATTCTAGGAAGAAAATAATCGAATGTCGTATAGTTCAGAAAAAAGTGATTGTATTAATAGTAATCATAATACAAAAAAAGAACAATAGCCTGATTTAAATTATTGTCGTGACTTAAGGGCACGTCCCTTTTTCCTTAACCCGAAAATTCACTGTTTGGAACTTAGATTTTTTCTACATAAAAAGGCTTTCAAAAGTCTTCTATCGCAAGGCATATACACGACAAATTTTGCCAATTCTCGACAAAAATTGTGTATGAATATGTTTGTATAATAATGTAGAAATTGAAAATTTTGACTGTCATTGGATTGAAGTAAATTATCAAGTATTCCTAATTCATTTTCATCGGAATCTGATGAATCACAATATGAATTTAAATCTGACTCAACATTTGTTGAACTATCATCAACTTGAAAAACATCAAAATCAATATTAATATCAGTAATTGGATTTGTATCGGTTGACTCAACATTCATCAACTCTATGTTGCCAATAGATTCTTCTTCAACCTGAGAAATATATATTGTTGGAGACTGGTTTGAAGTTGATAATGAAGATTTCTCGTTTACGTTTCGACGACGACGAGCGTTGTCTAAAGCTCGTCTGCGTTACGAACGTTGTTCAGTTTGTTCTAAAGCAACTCGAAGGTTTTGATACATATTCAAAATTGTGCAGCACTGTTAATGACAAATAGTGAAAGTGAAAATATCTAGATGACAGAATTTTGATAAAAGATTCAAAAAAAAAATATTTAGAGCATTCAGTTAAAAAAGTTTGACGTTCATGCTTTGCATGACTATATAACATAGAACTACTTAATAGCAATTGATTCACAGGTATAGAAAAAGAGAAAATGTCAGATCAGAATGCGCCATGAATCATGAATTCAAAACAATCACTATAGTGGTTATAATTACTTAATAAAGTAAACAACTGTAGAAAGACAAAAAAGATCCTTGAAATCAGTAATTGATATATTGATAATCTGAGTGCAAAGAGAAAAAGAATATAATAAACATAGAAAATTTAAAAACTTCCTGCATACTCAAATCATTTCAGGATTAAACCTAGAAGTATAATTTAGCTATGAAACATTCGAATTCATTTTAGTTTTACACATAAGCCACGAAGTAACTTTATTATTTATTTTGTTTAATATTTGTTCACATATTTCTGTATTTTATATTCTTTATCTGATTATCTTCTCTCTTATGTTTTCTCTCTATAATATTTTTTTATTCCTTTGTCCGATAGCCAGACATTTCTATTGATCATTCTTTGTACCAGTTAATATTACATCATAAATAAACGATCACATGTTTCATGATATAACGCCCTCTAAAAAGTTAATGGAAAATCAGGTCGCAACAGAATCCATGGAAGTAAACGACCAAATTACGATCGTATACGGCCATCGTTTACGACTAATGGGCATCAGAGTCGTAAACGACTGCCGTTTAAGCTCGTATTTCATCGTATACGCTGATCGGTTACGATGACCGTGTACGACGGGCGTTTTCTACCGTATTACGCCGTGTACGGTCGTATACCATCGTAGGTTTTCGACCTGGGGTTGTATCTTGTTCATGAGGAATTTGTGCATAATTATCGTGTTGAATGTGTTCCGAATTTGATTGTTGTTGATCTAAAAGATACTTACTATAATCTAATGCAGGTAATTGATCATCTAATTCATCAAGTTCAGGGTTTGATAATGAATTTCGATGAGTTTCTTTCGCATTAATTGATGCATCATTAGTAATATCAGAATCTGTTGAATGAACACTTTCATCAGTAAATATTAATGGCGATGTAAGATGTTCGACATTGTTTGTTGTCAAATGATTTTTAACTTCAGATTTACTTGTCGACATTTGATTTTGTCTTTAATTCCCTTGCTTTTTCGATTCTCTTCTTACCGTTTTTATATCACATAAAAATGAATCATTAATGAATCATTATAAATAAACAAGAATCATTCAGGTGTGTCTGAATATTAACTTACGACCTGCATGAATATTTGCGTTAGCAAAAGTTAATCACGTAAATGTGTAAAAATTACTAATGATGAATAAAAAACACAGTAAACTATGTGAATGTTTTCAAGCAACTTCTTTTGATGAGAAAGCTCTTGAACAGATATTGAAGTAAGATGCAGAAAATGTAAAAATCGACTGAACTTTTTCTCGTTCGTTTACATATGGTTTCATAGAAGTTACAATACTGATCACGAATATACAATTTTTATTTCGAATAGAACATCGTTTGGCTGGAGAAAATCTTAAAGAACTTGAATATCTAAAAAATTCGCTTGTTGTGAACTTCAGTGCTAAATGACGTAGTCAATTTTCAATTAAATCTTTTTCTTTCTTGTAATTTAGCATATTTGACTTCATATGGATTATAACTCTGAGATTATCAGAAGTTATTAAAAGATGATTAAGAAAATAACGTCTGATTCAAAATCCATACTAATGTTCCTGTCTTGGAAGTTGGCTCATATTGGATGGGTGTGGATGTGGAAGCGAGTGTATTGTTGAAAAGAAAGTCTACGTCATAACGTCGCGTCTTCATACTTGAAGTCCTCTATATACGTCAAGATATTTCGTGGTGTTTTTTTTTCATATGAGCAGCTGCTTTGTGGTAGAAATGTTTTTAGATTACAAACGAACTATTATGCTAGAAATCAGTACTGTTGCATCAATACAATATTATTTACATTACCAATACCATAGCTTTCGTAGATCAACTGATCGCTGATTATCTCACCTGTAACGTGAATACAGGATACATAAGAGAATTAGAATGAAGAGCAGAAAACCATCTTTATCTTCAGTTTAAGTTACTCGACTTCATTTTCCATTCAACCCCTGGAAAATATTTTCTGTGATAATTGACGATGACACAAACATATATAATACGAATTATTTTTATGTTGAACGAAATTGTTTTCTAATCGTTCTGAGAAGAATAGTTGATAGTTTGGAATTATTAAACTAGATAACAAATATTTCAATCAAACTAGTTATACTTCATAAATTAATACTCTTTCATAGCTAATTATGAATTTCCTTCTTATAGAGAGGATTTTTATATTAGTATTTCTTTTTTCTTGAAAAGAATTACAACCTCATCATCATAAATTTAACGAGATTCTTTCTTTTTCTATCCACTCCAAATACAATATCTGGACAGTTGCATGAATAAGAACAAAATTGTAAGATCATCCATGGAAAGATAGAGAATGATAGATTCTTGTTCAATTATTTTGCTCTCTCTACTAATGTAACTTTTGTCAACTGTGTACAAGATCAAAAATTTCTAACTAGTTAATATAAACACAAATTCTTTTATTTTTCTAAAAGAATTCCCGAATACTTTGCAGCAGCAAACAATGAATTATCAGATTGTACACATTTCAAGAAAACAGTTGATGAGCATTATTTCGAGATGTTGTAGTCGATGTAGATGTTGATATAACTGATGTAGTTTCAGTAATTGTAGTAGTGGTTGATGTGCTTGTGATGGTTGTCAATTTATTTGTAGTGCTTGTCGATGCACTTGTATAGTTAGTATGAAAGAACTAGGGTGTGGGTATGGGTGTTTGTACTCAAGTTATTCACACCTACACTGATCCCCCCACACCCTTCAATTGCTTTCTCTATATATAGAGTAAATTATCTTTGCAATAAAGGGGGAAATAGTGAAATACACTAGTTGGTGCTAATATCTTACAATTTCACGTGGGGAATATACCTCACAGTACGTCAAGATGCAGGGCACCACATAGCCCTTTTTTGACAATAAGCTTTTTATTATCATATAATATTGCACTTGTATGGAAAAAAATATTTTTTCGTTTTTTTTCAGTGAGAAAGCTCATGATTCCTTTTTTCCGCTCAAAGAAGAAGAATTTTAAAAAAAGAGCTCGGTGGCACCCTCCATCCTGGATATGGGTGTAGTTTTATGTGGTATGGTTCTTTTCTAAATTCTTTGACACCCATGCCACACACTCTAAACCCACATTAGTAAGTTCATTTTTTACAACAAAATATGCATTTCATTCTTCTCAAAGATTAGAATTGATTACTGTGGCAGCAATTACAGTTACGTCGACACGAAGAGATTTAGCTTGAAAATAGTATTTATCAATGAGAGCTCCATATAAGTTAATTTTTGATTAACAAAACTGTACTAGTACGGATAGGATCACATGTTTCATTCACTGTTATCAAACGATTCTGAACGATCGTGTAGCTAAAATTTATATAACGACTGATATTCGATTTAGAGTTTTATTAGCTGCTCGTTCTTTGAGGAAGCATATCCAAACAATATTGCAGTCAGTGAATCTTTGTTTTGTGTCTATCATACCTAGAATTACTGTTGTGAACGATGAATTTTAATCATTACTGTTACTATGAAGACTGTTCATTAGCACGTTCTTCTAATAACAGATTCGTCTAGAAGAGGATGGCTGTCGATCAATGGAAAACCAACACCCACACCCGCATCCCTTAGTTATTTGAGTTGTTGCATAAATAATAATTATACCCTATCCTAGTTGTCTCATCACTCTTTGTCTGTAGTTCCAATGGCCTTGCAACTATGAAATTGATGAGTATCAAATAGTTGAAGTGAAATTCTTGAAAAGACCCATTGCTGATTTCGTTCGTTCATCAGCTAATTATCTGACTCATAGAAAAATCGATTGGCATAGTTATTGAGACTCTTTGGTATGCGTCATAAGATCTTGTTGGTGATATAAAGAATTCAGACAATGGAAATACTGACAACTGAGTGCTGGCATTAATTATGATAAAAATTCAAGGATTTTTTTGCAAATTAACAGTTCTGAAAGCGAGCAAAATCATAAAGCAACTCATGGATGACTATATGATGTACTATCTATCAATGTCCAATGTACTACAGACACACATACACGGTCCTTGAAACGCATTTTCAAACTATTATATATTACAAAGCATGATTAAATGAAGACAAACTAAAAGCATGTTGCCAAGTGACAGTGGTCACGAACATAGCAGTTATTTTAAAGATATAAGTGATCGATTGTTTCTCGTGAAGAACAAATAGATGGGTTTTACATTTAATACAAGACAACATATTATAATTGCAAATATTGAACCTTTTTCTATTTCACTTGATTTCATACAAAAGAAAGAGACATTAAACCTCAAATCATTCTATATCAATCGCTACAATCAAATCTTGGTATTTAAACATGTACCATTGTATTTCTATTCGATATCGACAAGAAGACTAATTAAGTCGATTACATTAGTGTTAATGAATGTAGACAGATCAGGGTGGCCAGATCAAAAATTTAAAAATCAGAAATTTTTTTTTCAAAATCAGAAACGATCAGAAATTTTTTATGCAAAATCAGAAATTAATCAGAAAGAGCAATTTTTTGAAACTAGTTCATATTATATTAAGACACTGACATCCATGTTCTACTGGGTTTCTCGTCATTGACTTATACTTTTTTTTCAACGGTGTTTCACTGTTAAGAACGACAATATAATGAATATAGCGTTCAGCTAATACAAAAACTAAGAAAATACACTTACGAAGGAAGGTTCCCAAGTGATTCATCGCTTTTAAGTCCGAACTCTATGAATGATGCATGCCATAGCGAGCTATGAATACTGTGAAAAGAGCTTCGGCTGATAGCTTGTTGCTTTCAAGATGCTGCATTTTTATGGTATTCTTTTTAGCCCAATGCCGTGGTTCCCTCAGAAACACGAGAAACACTGAATTGAATATCGAATTTCGACTTGAAACTTTGCTCAGACAGTTCTAAATAACAATCGTTTATTGTGAAAGTTTCAACTTTTTCGAATGCTCCTATTCTGAAATAAGAACATTGGGATCTGCCGGTATATGAAAGATGCCAAAAACATGTTATTACCATAGTCGTATCTGAGGATAGAAACAACGAAAACAAATGAAACTTTCACAAAAAACCACACTCATTAACTTCTGTCTCTGTGCAAAGTTTCAAGTGGAAATTCGAAATTTAGTTTTTCTTATGTTTCTGAGGGGATCACAGCATTGGGCTAAAAAAATAGCGTAAAAAAGCAGTATCTTGACAGCAGCAAGCTATCAGCTTGAACTTTTTTCGAAGTATTAGTACCTCGTTATAACATACATGATGCACGCAGTCCCAACTTAAAATCGATGAATTACTTGGGAACCTTTCCTCGTCAGAAACTATCAATGATCAATAGAGAAAAAAGGTTGCGCAGTATCGATCTATTATAGTAATGGGGTAAATCTTACCTAATTTCACTAACAAAGCTATAATCTGAAAAAGTTTACAATTCGGAAAAAATCAAAAATGTGTTCAAATTTCAGAAACTTTCCCTATTTTTCAAAAGATCTGGCCACCCTGGTTACAATTGTCATGTAGTACGATCTCGTTAATCCGAAGTAAATAAAGACAAGAATAGTTCATCAATGCACGTTTCAACTCAGAATGACAAATCAAGCGAGAAATCAGAGTGAAGAGGATTCACTTGACTATTTACGTTCTTTGATCTTTTATTCGCTGAAATCTGTCCATTTGTTGAACTGTATTATCATTTTATGTAGATAGGTGTTATGTGGCTATGTCCTATCAATAGTAATAATTCGGGCCTTCATATGAGAACGAACTAGCACGTTTGAAACAGCAAAAATGAAAGTCAGGAAAATCAGAAAAAATCAGAAAGCAGAAAGCCGTCAGAAAAAGTGTTCAAAATCAGAAAATTTCTGAAAAATCAGAAGATCTGGCCACCTTGAGATAGATTCATGCTCGACTACATATATAGACTGAACAACATCCATAAGATATATCCGATAATATCCT